GCGGCGCCGGCAACAATAACATCGCCAATGGATCCGCCGCGATAACGGGAGCCAATGGGAAGCTGCCACGTGTCTCAAGCAGCCCGGCGCTGAAGGCCCTCACCTCTCAGATTTGCAACACTCCTGGTGGTAATGAAGACCAATGCCCGAAAGTCACCGGCGAGTTTTCCCGGAAAAGAAAATCCGTTCCCAGAGGAAAAGCCAAGGAAAGTTCCGCTTCCCCATCAGCGAATTCCCTAAAGGTGCTTTCATTCTCCCGGGAAATTCCCATAATTTTCTCATTTATAAAACAAAAAAAGAACCCATTTTACGAATTTCAAAAACAGAAAAAGAAGTTTTTTCCATCATTCCAAGAACCCATTTACCTGAGAATTCAGCTTTTTGCTAAAAAAAACAAAAAAAGTTTTCATCTTTTTTATTTTTTGTAAAGTAGGGTGTTGAAGGAAACGAGGATTCAGGTGCAAAGAGAAGAAAGAATTCAGAAGAAAATGGGAAGAAGACAACGAACAATACAAAACCACCCGAAGCTCCCAAGGATTACATCCATGTCCGAGCTCGTCGAGGCCAAGCCACCGACAGTCACAGCCTCGCTGAACGAGTAATTTTTCTTTCCATCCCTAATTTATTTTTACTCCATTATAATTTCTTTCCGTCTAAGCGTGAATTTCGGCCTTAGATTTCTAAAACATTTGGATGTTTTCGGAATTCGATTTTTCTCGGTAGAAGAAACTTTCTGTTTTATTTAATTTTCTATTTGGATTAAGATTTCTTTATTGTTTAAATTAAAGGGCAGATTATGAAATATGGTTTTCTAAGTAGAGTGTTATTGCATTAGTTTTAATACCAAAAAAAAAATCGCATTGAAAAATTATTATTCTTGTAGAAATCAAACAAATTTGAAGTTCTTTATTTGATTTTTTCCATTTATATTCTAAAATTAGACATTTTCAGACCCTTTTTTTGAAAAAAAAAATCCAGTTGGTTGAATTTGAGTTTTTCCATATGTGAAACATGAAACCGTAGCAATTAATCGCATCTTAGTATAATCGAATTAATTATGTTAATATTATATTTGGTTTTCTAAATTAAAAACTTGGGCTTTTAGGTTCGTAGAGAGAAAATAAGCGAAAGGATGAAGCTGCTTCAGGATCTTGTTCCCGGGTGCAATAAGGTGAGAGTTTGATTAATTATTTAATTAACCACTAATTAATTAAAATAATAATGCAAGTGTTTATGATTAGCATTGTTAATCAATGAAGACAAAAAAAAAAGTTTACAATTTTTTTATTGTTAAAATTTTTTAAAAAAAAAGGTTACGGGCAAAGCACTGATGCTGGATGAAATTATAAACTATGTCCAATCATTGCAACGACAAGTCGAGGTAAATTAAATATCGAAAACTATATTCAGTTTTTCTTTGTTAATCATTTTATAATTAATCACCGTTTTTGTTTTAATTTAATTATTATTTTTTATGTGTTTTATAAATTGACAGTTCCTGTCCATGAAGTTAGCTACAGTGAACACCAGGCTGGATGTTAACGTGGACGCCTTGGTGTCAAAGGACGTAAGTCAATTAATAATTTTATTAAATTAATAATGATAACAACACTAATAAATAATAATGGCAGTTTTTTTTCTCATAAAGCACTGTTTAGATTTCCGTAAATATACTGATTTAGATTGACAAGTGATCTTCTAGTTGACGAGATATTAGTTATTAAATTTGGTATGTTATTTTTATTTTTAGAAATATTATATCTATTTATTTTTATTTTATATTATTTAAAATTTCCCATTCAAATAAATTTTGTTTTTTTAGTTTTACATTCAATTTGTATTAATTGATTTCATTTTAAAATGTGTATCTAAATCGTTTTTTAGATGGGATTAAATTTGAATTTAAAATGAGTTAATTAATTTGCATTTAAAATTGTATGGTACTATATTAATAATTGTGGAATTTTAATGTTCAGATGATTCCTCCAACGCATGATGAGCAAGTAATCCAATTAGATGACGCAACACAAGCATTTTTGGGTCATCAACATAATTTACAATTACACCCCAACATTTCTTCGGGTTGCGCAATTGACCCTTTCGACACTTCTGCTTTACCCAGAAGCTTCACTTCTCACGCACCAACACTTGACCAATTCACCGACTCCATTCCCCAGGTTCTTATCGATCCTTCCACTTTTCTCCCCAAACTTTTGTTTTCTACAATTAAACCCCCCAGTTTTTTGTTCTTTCCAGTGTCCCACGTTCTGCGAAGACGATTTACACAGCCTTGTTCAAATGGGTTTCGCACAGACCTCGGTCCAACTCCAACCGCAAAATTTTCAAAGTATGTAGCTAATACTATATATACATACATACATACATATATATTTATATATATTAATTACGTGTTTGTGTGTATAATATATGGTTTTGGATTTGAAAAAACCTTAGTCTTTGACCTGGACTTTGTAATATGCAGGTTCAAATCAAACATCACACATGAAACTTGAGCTTTGATATAAAACCATTATTTGGTTTTGTGTCCAATTTCAAAGGTACAAGGAAGAAAGGGAGAAAAGGATTGATGGGTACATATAACAAGCAATATTTGAATTGGACCCTGCATTTGAAATTTTATTCATGTATATAGGCCTCCCTTTTATATTCTATATACATATACATATATATATATATACACATATAATATTTTTTTCTCCCTAAAATATAACTTTTTTTTTTCTTTTAAAAAATTGTAGTCAGATTCTTTTGTGGGGTTCCATTGTTATGTTATCCACTATAAATTCCTTCTGATTCCTTTTTGCTTTTTGTGCAATATCATTGTGTTAATACAAGGAAAGAGCACCAAGAGAAGATTCAACATCTAGAAGATCTCAGATAAAAAGAGAAACATGCCAATATAAAGAAAGGGAAGGAACAACCAGCAAATGAATGACTTGCAAGAGAAAAGGAAACATGCCATTGAAATAAAATGGAAAGAGTAAGCAAAAGGAATGAAGATAAAGAAAAGGAAAAACAAATATGATGAAACGAAATGGAAACCCTATGCAGGAGGCTGAGCATAAATACAGAGGCGTGCACAATAGAAGAGATCACTCAAGGAGAGAGAGAGTGTTTGAGTCGTGAAAGCTTTGGGCATAAACATATTTGTATGGGAAACACGGGTGAGTGATACTTGAGATAGAGTGAAGTGTATCTGAGGGAGAGCCTTCAAATAACAGGCGAACCGCTCAAAGGGCCTAGACGAGTCTAGGGTTACACGGGGTGTGCGAGGCACACATAGTGTATGAGCTGATAGAATTCATGTTGTAAGGGGGGAACAAACTCAGGGGGAGTTGTGTTCTTGGGATGGATTAGGCTCGAACAAAAAAGAGTTGTAATTCATTTTCTTTACAAATGAATAGAATCAGTTGGGAAGTTTTTAAAAGCAATATCGTGTGAGTTTACTTTTTCACATTGGATCCCAACCGCAAATGCAAGAAATTAGAGAGCTAATTAGATAACGAACTCCCGTTTATTTTATTACTTACCCACCCATTTTTTTTTATCGCAATATCTAATGGCAATTTGATGGGTTTTGTTTTGTATTTTACGACGTAATAAAAAGGAAATTATTAAATTGTAATTGGTCAAACATCGATTTCATTGGTAGATAGATCTAATGGTTTATTTCGGTTTGATTTGATATTTGCTAGTGTTAACCAGCTGGTTTGTCTCTGTGTGTGGTGCAATGTCTTTATCTTTATTGTCTCCATGAGAAATTCTTTAACTAACCGAAAAATAAATTTTTTTAAAAAAAGTCTACTCTTAGTTGGTTGCAAACTGAAAATATGATTGATTCATTACTAAATACGGGGATCAAGCCGTGATTTATGGAACTTGTATGGGCCCAATTGCAATTTTATGATTTACTAGGGAAAAAAACAAATATATTTAAGGATGGATGTTTTTTTCTCTCTCTCGAAATTCAATCCGGTTATCTTGCATTCTAATTTTTTTTTATGTTGAATGAAAACTAGACTCTGAATGAAAACAAATTCAATTGAATGGATATAATTTTTAAAATATAAATAAATTAATTAATTAATCAAAAATCGAAGTCACGGACTCACGGTGATGAGTAAGTGTTTTTAGTTAAAAGATCGGTGATTTTACAATCACATATTCTATTAAATGATTGTCAATTATTTGTTTTAATATATAATCATTGTCTAAATTATGATAATTGGTAGGCTATTGTAGGGTTGGGCATTTCGGTTCGGTTCTTCGGAACCGGACCGAACCGAACCGAAAAAACGGTACTTTTCCCGATCCGAAACCGTTCTTAATTCCCAAACGGTATCATTTTTAGAGAACCGAATTTTTCCGCAACCGAACCGAACCGAACTTTAAAAATCCCGAAAAACCGAATGTTTTTAAAGGAAATTTATCCTCTTTTTAATAAAACCCGGAACCGAACCGAACCGATACCGAAACCGAACCGAACCGAATACAATATAAAAACCGATTGGTACCTATTTTTATAAAACCGAAAGAATCGAACTGATCCATTCCCGTCCCGAACCCGAACTGTTTTCCGAAACGTCCACCCCTAGGCTATTGTATGATAATCTTCCAAATAAACAGAGATTATTTGATTGGATTAGATAATGTGTGAACGTGAATTAAAAAAAAAATATCAATCACATGGTTATAAACTCGGATCCGTGGGACTTAATCACACGGAATAATGATATAGATTACATATAATCACCAACCACCTTTGAGTTTATAACCAAGAAGAAGAAGTGGTTAACTAAAAACTTTAAAGGAAAATAAATAAACAATTAATTTTATTTCAGACTGTCAGTATTTTTTTAAAAGAAAACAAATCGCCCGTTGCAAACATTAATGATTATTAAAAACATTAAAGATTTAATTATTGGACTGTGGTGGGATATTTAGGCGTATTTAATCGATTATATATTAATTATTCACTATAAATAAAAAAAATGAAAGATTCTTTGAATTTGGATGTTCATTTTTATTGTTTTTTTATTAGTTGAAGAGTAGTTGCATCTTATTATAAAAGATTTAATTGAATTAAAAACTGTAAATCAGCAGAAATAACAATGGTAATCATGTGGCATCCCCTTTTTTTTTTGCCACACACAAAAATAAAATAAAATAAATAATGGCAAATGACTCGATGACATGCCCTTGAGCTTATTATAATTTTTTCAATTTTACAAATCCATTCCGACGGTCCATGCATTGAAAAAAGAGCAGATTATATTACGAACTAAAATAATATTGTAAAATTTTTTTGGGGCAAGTCAGTTTATGGATATTTGTGTATGAAGAAACAAATAAGAATGGGAATGTCATAAACATTCATACCAAAAAAAAAAAAAACATCCAATATGGCGATACACTGTAGAAGAATAAGCTTTGGGACGAGGAAGAGTCTTTTATGAAGGGAAAACGACGTCGTTCTGATCTGTTCATTAAATGAATTCAAAGATAAGAAGGGACATTTTGATCAAAGGTAGTTTTGGTCGTTGTAGAAATATATTTTTTTATTTTTATAAAATAATATTCTTACAGTATCTACTGTCGAAATATAATGATGTTGATGGTCTGCTATATACTTGTTCCTAACATGTCCATTATTATTATTATTATTATTATTATTATTATTGCTCGGAGGGTGATGCGATAATGATATAGGGTTAGGTAATAATTTCGGATTTTTTTTATTAGGTCCCTATCAAATCATTTCACTTTAGGAAATAAAATTCCTTGGAAATAATTTAGTATTTATGGTTATACTATAATGACAATAAAATATCTGATCATCACTCATTTTGCCATTGATTTATTTTGATAACTAATTTCATCTCGAATATAATATTATATTTGTTTGTACAATGGTGTTTTGAGTTTTTTAATATTTTATTTAATTGTTAAAAAAATTAGTTACGGTATCTTACTGAATTATCTAAAATTCAAATAATTTCAATAGATACAAATGTTTAATAACTAACTCATTTAATTCATGGGATGGTTAACTATATTAAGTTATTAACCATATGAACAGAAGACATTGAAAAAACAATATTGATAATAATTAATTATCAATTAATGTTTTAAAGATATGGTTAATTAAGAGAGATGTTTATAACTTTAGGGCAGAGGAGACAGAAACAGACATCGAACTGCTCTTTCTTTAGGTTGCCTCACCTCATGCTCTCCAACTGTAACCCTTTTTTTTTTCTTTCAATTTTTATTACATTAAAGCTTGGATTTCTGTTTATTAACTCCACAATTTAATAATACAATGAAAAAATAAAAAATGTTGGTTTGATTTTTATTTAATACATACAATTAATATTGGTTTATTATAATTATATAAATTGCATTAAATTGTTTGGTGACTCTATTTCTTAAATAACTTAAAGCACAAATAGTTTTACTAGCCTCATTATTACATCTATCAAATTGTTGTAACGTTTATAGCATTCTTAATATTTATATTGGTAAAGACAAGATTTGACATACGCGTTTCATACAAAACTTATGCATCCAAATTTATACAAAATAAACATGCCAATAAGATGGAAAATCCAAATCTAAAACTTTTGTTTTAAAAATAAATATATTTTTATAGGAAATTCGCTTCATTTTTTTAATACTCGAATCCCAAATTGTTGGCCCAAAAATTGGAATGGTATCATTAAATGGGTCAATAATTTTAAATATTTGGGTCAGAGAATGTATGGTTTGAACCGGCCCAATAATATATGTATTATTGGATCGACCACATCTATTTGATATATATATATATATATATATATATATATATAAGTTTTGTGTCAAATATAATAGAAAAATTCTATAGATATATATTTTTTTGTGAAATCAAATTAATTGAATTTGAACCGAATATAAAAATAAAAAGAAGAATTAAAAAATAACGAGTATATTTTAGCCGAATAAAATCAAGAATCTAAAATTACAATTAACCTAAAACGCTGAAAAGAATCAAAGCTAATCCGACAAGGGAGACAAGAGCGGAAGCTGCCATGGCACAAGCGAAGGCACCGCTGCAGGAGCTCCCGTCATGTACGAACCACTTGCACCAATACGCCATGGCCGGCATCCCCAACATCGTCACCAGTATCACCACTCCCACCCCGAACATTACTATATCCATCTCTCTTTCTCTCTCTAGAATTATCTGTTCTTTAGATCGGTGATGAACTTTTTCACAAGCCTAGCCTGCGATGGTTTTGTATTTATATGCATGTTTATTAGTTTTGTAAAGATTTTTTTTTTATAAAAAAAGTAAAAGTTAGTGATATGGAAAATAGTATAAATTTTGACAAAAAAAAAAAGTATAAATAAGTGAATTTTTCTTATTTAGATATCCTTATATATATCACAATCGCTAATTAGATTTTTGTTCCCTTTTTTTTTTAATTGGGGATTCAAGAAGCGTGAAAAAGTAAATTTTTTTTATATTTGTATATCTTGATTACAAGACTATAATATATAAATAAATACTGATTAGAAAAACTATAATCGTTATTTTTATATTGAATTCGATTCAATAAAATTAAGTTTCGATTTATTTTTATAGATTAAAATACTTTTTTATATTTGATTATTTTTTTATTTAATTCGATTTAATTTCAATTTCTCGGTTTAATAAATTAAACTATTCAATTTTATATCAAATTTGATTTGATTATAATTATATATTATTCTATTGTATGATTTATTTATTCAGTCATTCACCAAATTGGGTTATATTAGTTGCGGTTGCAAAAGCCCTAAACCCCCGGAGGGGGAAAAGTTTTTTTATTTTTTTATTTTTTATCTTTATGTTTCCAGAAAAAAAAAAGTTTGATTGGATGCTTCGTCTCCCGCTCTCTGGTTTCTTCCCTCCGATTCTCATTATTTGGGCATGCTGATTCGTACAAGAAATCTCACAAAGATCCTACCTTTGGGTTGCCATGTCCGTCCTCCTTTCGCTGCGTTGTACTCTGTTTTTCCGCAACCTTATCGCTACCGGCCGAACCCAGAAACCTCGGATGACACAGTTCTTGATGTTCTGTCTTTGCTCAGAAGTCCCAAGTGGGAGCAGAACAGCATCCTGAAATCCATCGTCTCTCACATTAGCCCACATGTGGCTTCGCAAGTTATTTCTCGCCATGGCGGCGATACCGATCTCTGTCTTCGTTTCTTCAAATGGGTCTGCAAGCATTCGTCTTACTGTTACGATTTAGGTCAGAAAACCCAACTTCTGAAACTTATCGTTTCCTCCAGTTTGTACGGGGTTGCCCATAAGGTTATCGTTGTGTTGATTAAGGAGTGTAGTAGCGGCGAAAATGATATTCTGGAGCTGATGCGTTGTCTTGACGAGTTGAGAGATGGCGGGTTTCAGTTAAATTACCCATGTTACAGCTCTCTTTTAATGTCATTGGCTAAGCTGGATTTGGGTTTTTTGGCTTACATGACTTATAGACGAATGGAGGCTGATGGCTTTGTTGTTGGCAGGATTGATTACAGAACCATCGTCAATGCTTTGTGCAAGAATGGATTCGTAGAAGCGGCAGAGATGTTCTCCTGCAGGCTTTTGAAACTTGGGTTTGAGTTAGATACCCACATTTGCACTTCTTTGTTGCTGGCTTTCTGCCGAGTATTGAATCTCGGTGATGCACTCAGGGTGTTTGATGTAATGTCCAGGGATGCCAGTTGTGGTCCGAATTCAGTTACTTATTCTATATTGATTCATGGGTTGTGTGAAAAGGACAGGCTTGAGGAAGCCTTTCGCTTAAAAGATCAGATGCGTGAGAAGGGTTGCCAACCGAGCACACGTACGTATACTGTTCTTATCAAAGCCTTGTGTGATAAAGGTTTGATTGAGAAAGCTCTCAACTTGCTTGATGAGATGGTTGCTGGAGGATGCAAGCCGAATGCTCATACATACACAGATCTGATTGACGGGTTATGTAAACTCGGAAAGATTGAGGAGGCTAATGGGCTGTACAGTAAGATGGTTAAAGAAGGGATTTTTCCTAGTGTAGTAACTTACAATGCATTGATAAATGGATACTGTAAAGATGGACGGATTATTCCCGCGATTGAGCTTCTTGGCATGATGGAGAAGCGGAATTGCAAGCCGAATTTAAGAACTTACAATGGGCTTTTGGAAGGGTTGTGTAGAGTTGGGAAATCATACAAGGCAATGCTGCTTTTGAAGAGGATGGTTGACAATGGACTGTCACCCGACATTGTAAGTTTTAACATTTTGATTGACGGGCTCTGTAGAGAAGGGCATATACCTTTGGCTCACAAGTTGTTTACTTCAATGGACACTTTTAAGCTTGAGGCTGATTGCTTGACTTTCACTTCTATAATCGACGCCTTCTGCAAAGGAGGGAAGCCCGAGGTAGCCAGTGCTTTCTTAGGTTTGATGCTAAAGAAGGGAATACACCCGGATGAAGTAACATTCACAACTCTTATCGATGGCTTCTGCAAAGTTGGTAAAACCAAGGATGCATTATTTCTTCTAGAGACACTGATCAAGACAACTTTCATGGAAACTCCTCACTCCCTGAACGTAGTTCTTGATGTCCTAAGAAAAGCATGTAAAGTGAAAGAAGAGTTTGCAATGCTTGGAAAGATGATAAAGTTTGGTTTAGGGCCTTCTGTGGTGAGTTACACAATACTGATTGATGGGTTGATACGATCAGGCGATATCAGCGGTGCCTTGAGGATGCTAGAACTGATGAAACTTGCTGGCTGTTCTCCGAATGTTTATTCATACACAGTCATCATCAGCGGTCTGTGTCAATTTGGAAGAGATGAGGAGGCCGAGAAGATTCTTCACGCTATGCCCGAATATGGAGTCTTACCCAACCATGTCACGTATACCGTCATGGTGAAAGCATACGCCAATGCTGGAAGATTGGACCACGCTCTTGAAACTGCGAGTACCATGGTTCAAAGAGGATACCAACTGAACGATCGTGTCTATTCCGCTTTGTTAAAGGGATTTGTCTTATCCCAGAAGCAGACTATCGAATGTTCCAACGAAAATGCCATGGACAGCAACTCAGACAACGTCCTTGAAGAAATCAACCTTGGATCCATGTATGAACTCCAAGCCAAGATCGAAGAACTCGGTTGTTCAACCAGTGGCTTATGTAATTTCATGGTCGCACAGCTCTGCACGCAAGGAAGAGCG